GTTTCACAGTATAACGCTTATACTTAGACATGCATGGCTTAATCTTTGAGACAAGCATATGACTACTGGCAGGATCAACCAGGTATCTATCCTTTCGACACGACAACGACGAATATATCAACCGGTCGAAACCGATCAATACAATCGACGCGACGCGCCACAATTAGCCTCCCGGCCAAAAGTGATTGAAAGTTTGATTAGAAAATCAGACGTCTCACGAACACACACAAGGCTCCCGCCTCATGTGCGAACGCGATTGAAACGCCCTCACGTAGGTCCTACAGAAGGTCCTCCTGATGACAACCAACGCACTCGAAACATTCCATACAGATCATCACAATCACATGGCGTTTCGCGCAGGCTGCACCGTCACGCAAGCCACTCGCCACCGAGCTCGGTGTGAATAGTGAAAACAAACACACACATGCTCAAGGTTTCGAGGGTTCTTGCAATAATAAAGTAATACGTTTAGCCAACGGCTATCGGTACAAGCTTCTTTTCCGCGCATCCATCGTGAAACACGAAGAATGCCGCAGGCTCGTATGCAGAGCCGCAGTTTGCATTTCGACCGATCGGGGCTGTGCGAGCGCGCCGCCGACGCATTCGTCAGCTGCGCGCCTCGCCGCGCCGGGTCGTCCTGCCACTCATCCAGGTACTCAGCCCATCGCCGATTGGGAAACAACCGACCCGGAACCATAGCCCGTGGGTACGATGACCGGAGGGCTTTTCGCTGGGTGGGAGGTGCGAACTTGCGTTCACACTTCCTTACAGATGTCCAGGGACGCACGACATGTCGGTACGTATATTTGGCGTATGCGGTGTCATATGCGTGGTGTATATTGATGACGAGTGGTCGTGTGTGTGATTTGGACCGGGTGTGGATGCATGGTGCGCGACGTGATTTTCGCGCATAATATAGACTGTTTGCACACACACCACGACAGCGCCCCAACACCTCCATGCCGCCCACGCCCGCGCGCGCACGTCTGCGGAGTCCCCCGCCCACGAGTCATAAACCGCCAAATCCGGACAAAGGACGCGCCGACCACGCGCGCCACAACCGCGCCACGACCGCGCACGCGCGGTACATACGATCGAAAAACCTTCGCAAGGAGCATACCGCCGCCTCGCCGCCGCGAACGACCAAACGCGCGCGGCCCCGCGCGCATTCGCACACACACAAAGGATGCCATTCTTGGACGCACGCGGTTTATCTCAAGGTTGCCATGTTTTCACACGTACTGTGTCCACGTATTGATCCACTATTCAAATATTCCGTCGATAAATACAATTTCTCAAGGTTGCCATGTTTTTCGACGTACACAGTGTCCATTCGCACCATGAAGAAATCACACGTCCACGACCCGTGCGCGCGACCGCCATGGACCTACGCCACCGGTCGTCCCTTTCGATCGCCCCGGTCGCGACGCCCGCGTCCACCGGTCGCGACGCCCGCGTCCACCGGTCGCGACGTCGTCGACGCCGAGGACGGGGCGTCGGTCAAACGCGCGGATCTCTTTGACTTTCGCGTCGGCATCTCGCGCCGCGCGCGACCGAACATGACGACGATCGCGCGCGCGAGCGCGGTGCGCGCGCCGGCCGCGGCGGCGGCGCTGCTGTCGCTCCTGGACGAACCCCGCGCGGAGCTTCGCGCGCACGCGCTGCGACGACTGCGAGATGTCGTCGACGACGAGTGGTCGAGCGTCGCGTCGAGCGTGAGCGCGATCGAGGCGCTGTACGAGGACGAGACGTTCGAGGGGCGGGAGGATGCGGCGATGTTGGCGAGCAAGGTGGGTGGAATGCGAGAGAAGACGCGGGTGGACGCGCGATCGGGGATGGGATCGCGCGCGCGCGAGACGGAGGAAGGGCGATCGACGCGCGGGAGGAGAGGGTGGAGAGGGTGGAGTGGGAACGATGCGCGCGTGATCTTGGGCGAAAGGCGGTGACTGACGGGAGCGATCGTGCGCGTGAGGGGTAGGTTTTTTATCACTTGGGGGAGCTGAATGACGCGTTGCACTACGCGCTGCGCGCCGGGGAGAAATTTGACGTGAACGAGCAGAGTGATTTCGCGCAAACGCTCGCGGCGACGGCGATCGATCAGTACGTTGAGAAGAGGCAGGCGCTGACGATGGAGGAGGCGCTGGGAGACGCGAAGAAGGATGGGATCGATGAAAAGCTCGTGGTGGTGGTGGAGCGCATGTTTGAGTGGTGCCTCAGCGACGGGCAGTACTTCCAAGCGATCGGCATCGCGCTCGAGAGCAAGCGATTAGATAAGTTCGAAGAGGCGGTCGCGCGATCGAGCTCGGTTTCAGACTGCTTGTCGTACTCCATGAAGGTGTGTACGAGCCTGGTGTCCGTTCGAGGCTTCAGACAACACGTCTTGCGCCTCCTCGCGAAGATGTACGCTTCCCTGAGCGAGCCCAATTTTCTAAGCATGTGCCAGTGCTTGATGTTGCTTGAAGATGCGGATGGAATCGCGGAAGTGTTGAGCAAATTGATCGCAGGAGAGGAATCGGAGCAACTGTTGGCGTATCAGATAGCGTTCGCTCTGTTTGAGAATGACATTCAACCGTTCCTGAACCGCTTGAATGAAGTAGTCACGGAGAAGGCAATGAGCGCCGACGAACAAGCCGACGGTGGTTCTCCGATTTCCAAGCTGCGTAGCATCTTGAGCGGTGAGCGTCCGTTGGCGCTGTATCTAGAGTTTTTGCACTCGCACAACCACGCTGACTTGTTGCTTTTGAAAAAGGTGAAAGCCGCGGTGGAGACACGAAATTCCGTGTGCCACTCGGCCACGGTTCTGGCGAACGCGTTGATGCACGCAGGAACCACGTGTGATAAGTTTTTACGTGAAAATTTAGATTGGTTGGCTAGAGCGACGAATTGGGCTAGATTCAGCGCCACCGCCGGGGTGGGCGTTATTCACCGCGGACGCACCAAGGACTCTCGGCAGCTACTCTCGCAGCTTCTTCCAGCCCCGAGTCCGTACACGCTCGGTGGAGCGTTATATGCGATGGGTCTAATTCACACCGGTCAGCCAGGAGACGCGCTCCCTTTCCTCCTCGAACGTGCTCGCGGTAACAACAACGAGGTGATCCAACATGGCGCCTGCCTTGGCTTGGGGCTCGCTGCGGTGGGCACAGGGAACGCGCAGGTAGACGATGAGATGTTCCGTATTTTGCGTACCGACAGTGCGGTTGCGGGCGAAGCCGCCGGTATCGGTCTCGGCTTGCTGTACGCCGGTTCTTGCACGCCGCGCGCGAAGGAAATTCATCAGTACTGTGGAAAGACGAGCCACGGGAAGATTGTTCGAGGTTGCTCGCTCGGCATGGCGCTCACTGTGTACGGCCGAGAAGAGGATGGGGATGATTTGATCGAAGCCATGATTCACGATGGAGACAAGATCATGAGATACGGTGGTTGCCTCGCCATTGCATCAGCGTACGCGGGGACTGGGAACAACAATGCGCTTCGCAAGCTGCTGCACATGGCGGTCTCCGACGTGTCGGATGACGTCCGTCGCTCCGCGTGCATGTCGCTCGGTTTCGTCTTGATGTCCACTCCAGAGCAATGTCCGCGAGTTGTTGCTCTCCTGGCTGAGTCGTACAATCCGCACGTACGATATGGTGCCGCCATGGCGGTCGGCGTCGCGTGCGCTGGCACTGGCATGCCAGAGGCGATTGCGCTTCTCGAGCCGATGATGAACGACCCGGTGGACTTCGTCCAGCAAGGTGCGCTCATCGCCACAGCGTTCGTTCGCATACAGCAGAGCGAAAAGCAGCTCGAGCCGTTCCGCAAGAAGGTGCTAGGTCACATTCAAGACTCACACGAGACGACCATGTGCAAGATGGGCGCAATCATGGCGCAGGGGATCTTGGACGCAGGCGGTCGAAACGTCACCGTGGGCTTGCGCTCCAAGACAGGTCGACCGAGGATGACATCGGTGCTTGGTATGATGGTTTTCACTCAGTACTGGTTCTGGTATCCCCTCTCTTACTTCTTATCCCTCGTGTTCGTCCCCACCGCGTTCATCGCCGTGGACGGTACGCTCAACATGCCGCACTGCTCGGTGACGTCGCACTGTAAGCCATCGACGTTCGCCTATGCGGCCGCGACGACCGAAGATGACAAAAAGGACGACGGAAAGGTCGTCAAGGCTGTTCTCAGTACGACCGCAAAGGCGAAAGCAAAGGCAGACAAGAAGAAGGCGGAGGCGGAGGGCACCGAGGGCATGGAGGTGGACACGGCTGTGAAGAGTGAAGACAAGCCCGCGGGTGAGGACGCGATGGACGTGGAGACCACCGAGGCAAAGAAGGAAGGAGGCGAAGACGAGAAGAAGATAGACCTCCCGGAACCGAGCTCGGAGGAGCTCACAAACCCGAGCCGCGTGACTCCGGCGCAAGAAAAGTATGTGCGATTCGACCAAGGCAGCCGCTTTGTCCCGATCGCGGTCTCCGCGTCCAAGTGCCACACCAGAAGCTTCATCGTCCTTCGCGACACCGATGTGGGAGAAGAGATCGCATACGTCGACGCGCAATTCAAACCCGTGGAACCACCTGCTGCGCCCGCCGCGGCGGATGACGACGAGCCCGCACCTCCAGAGGACTTCGAGTTTGATCCAGACGCCGAGGATCGCGGGTTTTAGGATCACCTCGCGGAATCATTAGACGATCGATTTTCATGAGATTCATGCCAACGCCGTGTACGCCCGCGCCCGCGTGCGACGTCTCAGGCGCCCCCGGGGCCGCCCCGCCTCCGCCGCGAATCGAAGCCGCACACGCGCCTCGCAACTGCACACCCCGCCGCGCGCGCCGTCTCGGTCGACGCACATCGACGCGCGCAAGCCCTCCGTTGGCCGTCACGTGCGCTTCTAAGCGCGCTCGATCGCGACGAGAGCGAGCATAGCGACGACGAACGCGAGATCCATTCGGTGTTGACACCATCTCGCAACGACTTTCGGTTGAAAACTCTCAAAAGAAATGCTTCCGACCACGAGCTCGGACGCCGCGGAGTCTCGGGGATCGCACCGCCGAGCGTCGTACGCCGAGCGGTACCGGGTATACGTCGCCGCGGCGGCGAAGAGCGCGCAGACGGGGCACTATCTCCGACGCGCGTTTCGCTGGCGGCAAATGGACGTTGAGTATTCGTTATGGCAGGCGGCGGCGATGTGCGTGAACCCGAAGGCGGTGTACAGACACACGACGTATCGGAAGCAGACGAAGAATCACTGGGCGCGGGACGATCCGACGTTCGTCGTGCTGTCGTGCGTAGCGGTCGGTTTGGCGGCGATCGGGTGGTGCGCGGCGTACGGAGACGGCGGGACGAGCGGGAGTGCGAGGGTCGTCGCGCGGTGCGTGATCGGGGATTATTTGGGTGTGGGGGCGGTGTTAGCGACGGTTTCGTGGCATCTGGCGAACACGCATCTTCGAACGAAGCTTCCGGGTGGGCACTCGCACGCGGTGGAGCAGCGGGTGGAGTGGCTGTACGCGTTCGACGTGCACTGCAACGCCTTTGTACCGACGTACGTCCTGCTCTACGTCGTTCAGCTCACGCTTAGTCCACTGCTTCGTGCCGAAGGGCGGCTCGCGAGTGCGCTGAGCTGCGCGTTGTACGCCGTGGCGTTGGTCTATCACAACTACTGCGCCTTCATTGGGTACAACGCGCTGCCGTTTCTGGAGAACACTGAGTTCTTCCTCTACCCAGCAGCCGCCGCTCTCATCGCCGCTCCCATCGCCGCCCTCATCGCCTTCAATCCCACTCGTTTCGTTCTCTCAATCTACTTCGCTCACTCGTCGTGAGCGGTCACCGTTCCCGTCCAAGGCGCTCCGGCGTCCGACGCGCGCGCGTTCCCGCCAAATTCGCCGAGTGATTTAGATTTTGAATTTGATCGTCACCTCTCCCCACTTTGTGACGCCTCACCGCGACCGCGATGGCTCGAAAACCGCGCACGAAGGCGACGGGGTCCACCGCCCCCTCCGAGCCCGCCGTACCTCCGTCGACGCGCACGGAGACGCCGCAGAGCCGCTCGCTCGCCCCCGCGCTCATCGCTCTGGCGCTCGAGCTCGAGCGAGCGGACGACCATCTGGCGCTCATCAAAGTCCTCGAGACGCTCATCGCGAACGCGAACGCGAAGACGCGGGCGAAGTGCTTGCCCTCCACGGAGGCCCGAGCGCGGATTAAGCTGGCGAGCGTGCTCATGGAGTGGACGGATAATTGCGCGCGGGCGAAGACGCACCTGGAGGCGGCGCAGGTGCTGTTGCGACCGCTGAAAGCGTGCGAGGAGTTAAGAGTGCACGGATTGAGCTTGTTGGGACGGTGCTACAAGATGATGGGAGGAGAGTATCGACGACAGCGATTTGCGGCGACGCAGAGGGGATTGCAGGCGGCGATCGGGATGCGAGAGCGCCTGCCGGAGGATCCGACGTGGACGATGTGGACGTTTCACTATTACCTGGAGCACGCGGACGCGTGCGCGGCGGAGGAGGATTGGTCGACGTGTGAGAGTTACTTGAACGCTGGTCTGAGAGAGGTTCAGAAGATACACGGCGATAAGGGATCGAAGATGGAGGTTTTGTTCACTATGGCGCAGTTGCAGCGGGCGCTCATGCAGCGGGCGAGCGGGAGCGAGAGCTCGCACGTGTTCGAAGCCGCAAAGGCGGCGGACGAAGCGATGGCGAAGATGCTCGCTGAAAATGAGGCTCCAGAAGACACCGCGAGATTGCGTTTTCACTACGCGTTGATTCGTACGCTCGGAAAGCTCATGGAGGGAGATCCAGAAGCGGCAAAGAACTATCCGAGCAAGCTCAAACTGTTGATCAACGAGGTGAAGTACTCGAACGACACGGCGTACAAGTGGCTTCCCGACTCCGCCACGTTTGCGCTAGCGAGATATCTTTCTGCCGAGGTTTTGCGTCCGAGAGGTGACTTGACGACGGCCATGCTGCACCTCAACGCGGCAAAGGATTTCGTGGACACTGCGCTCTTTGAGCTCGGCGTCTTACCTCAGGGCGGCGAAGCACCCGTCGTGAAGACGGAAGAGGGGGTGATCGAAGGGAACAACGATGGTGACGGTGAGAGCGAGCGGTTGTGGGTGACGTGTGACAAAGAGATGCAATTCCGGGTCGGTCAGGACGCGCGACCGTACTTGCACCTCAGGGTGCTCATTCTCGAGTCGATTGCCTCGATTGCGCTCACGTCGACGAAGTACGACGTGGCTTTCGACGTCGCGTGCCAGCTCATGGACATGCTTGAAACGTATCCGCAAACGCTGAGTCTCATGGCATCTCACGTTGAAATGGTGATGGCTCACTGCTTGCACGCTACTGGCAAGTATAAGGAGGCGAGCTCGCACTTTGCGCGCGCTGCGTCATTGGCGAGCACGCCGAGCTGGCGCGATGTCGCCACGATGTGCTCCGCGCTCTCCATTCTATGCGAAGACGATAACGACGGAGCGAGTCGGGCGCTCGAGCTGGTCGGGCCGATCATTCGAAAGCACAAGGATAAGGACAAAAAGGAGGGTCAGACGTCGCTCGTGAATCAAACGCTCGCCCTCTTCACCAGCGGATGCGCCCTACACCGGCAAGGCCAAATGGGAGACGCGAAGAATCAACTCGGGCGCGCGCTCAAGAAGACGTTCGAGCAAGAAGGAAACCAACAGATGATCGCCTCGTGCCTGTATTTCATCTCGTGCATCGCACTGGAGAACGACCAAGCCAAGCAGGCGGAGTTGGACATGGCGGAGAGCGCGTTTTCGCTCGCAAAACGTCAAGAGGATCTGCCCATGCAAGTTGTCTCGCTCGGTTCGATGAATCGCATCAAAGCCGTGATGAGCGAGTCCGAACACGGCACTAACGTCGTCTCGAGTCGTCAACAAAAATACCTCGACTACGAAGAGCGTAAGAAGAAGCAACTCGACGATTACACGCGAGAGCTCTCGACCAACGAGCAATTCGCCGCCTTTGAGAAGCGCATCACGGAAGGCGTCAAGGCGTGAACGAACGATGGGTCCATCTTAGAAATTACACACAATGTACACTCACGATCTAGACATGAAACACGACGCGAACGAAACGATATTCCGCCGCCGCCGCGCGCGCGCCGCGCGCCGCTCACAGAAAGACCCGCACGCACGACGACTTTGTCACCTTTTTCCGACACGTCGGACACTGCGAGCTGTGCCGTAGCGCCGCCTGCAAACACCGCGCACAAAACACGTGCCCACACCTCGTCGTCGTCGGCAGCACGTACGCGTCCAGGCACACCGCGCACGTCCCCCGTCCCCCGCTCGCGTTCGCGTCTCTCCCCCCCCCCGCCCCCGTCCCCGCACGCACCCGCACCCGCGCGCGCCGACCCCTCGTCCCACCCCGCGCGCTTCCCGACGTCATCGCCGTCTTCTCTCGCACGATCACCACGTCCGCGCGCGCGTCCGGGCGCGACCGCGCGCGCGGTTTTCCCATCGCCTCGGTCGTCCCCGTCGCGGGCGATTCTCGTTCGTCCCTTCGCG